TTTACCCTTTTTGTCACTTAATTCTATATATTTTTCCGGCTTCTAATCATCTAACAATTTAGCAAAAACAGATGCGGATGCTGAAGCAGGTGTTTGTTTGGCACTGCTTGTTCTTGCAAACATGGTTTGTCAGAGTGAAAAACCTATTGTCTGTACGTTCTTCTTTTTCATAAACTTTATTTTGTCAAATTTTATTTTTGCTCTAGAAAAAACCTAGCTCGAGTTATAAGAAATAATTTTATTACCTTTAGTGTCACCTGTTTATGCTGGTGAGAATTATACGGAAAAACAGCTTTTTGGTTTGGCAGATAAATACATATTATGCGGCTCACATTTATTTGACATGAACCAAACAATTTTTGATTTGCTGTTTTCAATAGCGAGCATATCGGACTGTTCTAAGAACAAGCTGCGAGAATGGCGTGACGAGTTCGTTTCTTTCTTTTGGGGACACGCATTTTTTTCAATGGTATTGTAGTGTTTTTCTGTCTACTTTTCAGTTCTATCTGTTGAATTTTTTAGGAACAAGAGTGAGCAAGGATTTTGCCGGGAGTATATTGCGCAACTATCGAAAGCAGTCTTGCTAGCTATGTGCGAACAAGATTGGATAACGCAAAGAGTGTACAAAATATGTGAAGAAATCAGCCTTGATTTGTTTAATTCACCAAATTTGAGAAAAAATGGACTTGTATGTATTCTAATTATTTTTTTTATTTGTATTTCATTTTGGTTTTTCAAGGTAGTAGGAGTGACTTTGGGTTAGGGGCTTTTAAGTTTCTGCGTAATTTTAATGAACCAGAAATGTTTTATAGGGGCAGCAGCTATTGAGAATGGCGCTCAGAAGAAAGTGTGAGAGGAAGGTCGTTGAAGAGCTAACGATATGCAATGGAAATTCTAAAAAGTCTCTCATAGACAAGCTTTTCTCAGTTCTTAATATTTGGAATATGCGTGCTACATACTTCGATTTGAAGTTGATGATAAAAGAGGCAATAATTTTTTCTGCAGAAGTCGTTTCTTAAATCTACCAGGCTACTCTCGTTAGTTTAGCTAAGACAGTCGATAATCAAACTTATTCAAGGAAAAAATTTTCTTCAGTAATCCTAGAGGTACTAAATGCTTTCTTTTGTAAGATTTCGCCGGAAGGAACTGGTAAAGTAGTACAACAAGGTGCTATTGCTGCTGACGCACTTATTGGAGAAATTGGCAAGTGTTGTAGGGATCTTTTCGTAAATGCACGTGGAGAAGGACAAAAGCTGCCCGAAAATGCTACTGGGAAAGGATTTCGGTAAAGTTATTTCAAAATTTTTTTGAAGCATTTTTCAGTTTGTGAGGCTAAGAAGCTTTTCATAAATAGTTATTGTTCACTTAAAGTATGACGTTTCATTTTTCAGTTTGAAATACATTACAAATTTTTGGCTCATTTCGCCCTTAATTTGTTGTTGTCCAAAACCGGTCAATCTGCCTCCATCTTTTTCTGGTTTGACTGTGCAGGCAAAATTTTTGAAGGAAGCGGCGCTTATGCTGGATACAACAACTGATGGCAGTCCAGAACGGGTTCAGCAAAGGTAATGAAGGGTCTTTTTAACTTTTTTATTCTCTGTTACGCTCATCAAATTGTGTCATATGGTGCTGTCTTCACTATATTCTTTGAAAAGTTGAAGAATGTTTACATAAAAAGATGGTTTACTTGTGACAAAACGATAGTTTTTTAGCGTTTGGCTGTTGAGTCAAGAACCATTTATTAATCTTGTTCTGACGTGCTTGAAGGGAGAGGAGCAGCAAAGAGATGGTTTGGTTACTTCCCTGTTAAAACAGTTGCAGGAGTTAGCATTAAAGATCAAAGAGGTAAAAGGTTTGCTATTTGTTCTTCCCAATTTGTCTTCTATGCAGCCAATTTCGTACAGTCCCTTCAACTAATTGCATTTTTTTTTTTCAGAATTCTTTCTTACCTTATTTACGCAAATTCGCTTTGGAACGTGAAGGTATTCTATTGCGTTGTTCTCTCGTTGGTGGGATGTTCGATTCTGTTTGCCATCAGACGTGTTGTGACGCCTGGGCTTTACTTTTTTTCCAGCTTATGCTATACGGGGCGATTTCCCGTGAAAAAGATGGGTATGTATCGCATACTCCTGGACTAATTATTTTCCTTTTTTCAAGTTTCTCTTTGCAGTTTACAGGAATTCTGTTCTCAAACTATTACAGTTACCTCTTCGAATCCTGTTATGACATGCTCTCCACGGTGTTGATATGGTCAATAACAGACCCTGCGAACGTCTCCCCGGTTAACTCGCAAGATCCGGATACTAAATACCGATTCGGGAATTATGTGTCGATTGTCAAGAAACTTAAGGTTCTTTTAATTACTAATGCAGGACTTTGACTTTCCAACTTTTTGAAAATTCTTTTTTTTGCTTCTAGAAGAATCAACTTTTTTCTTTGTCTATTCTCCATTGCTGTGGGCCGTTTGTTTTGAATTCCTGTTCGTACAAGCATTTTAACGTCGACTTTTTTACTTCTATCACTTATTGTTTAAATATTTCGAATGGCCTTAATCACTTTATTATGAGCTTTCTGTCTTTCGGCTGTAAGATCACCAACTGAATGTTTACATTTAGAAGGAGTTGAATGAACGCACTTTGATTCCCGAATTGAGATCTTTGCTGCAGTTCCTCCCAATTTCCAAGTCGACTTTTGACCTAGTGACTTCGGAGCCTTATGGGACTGTTGTTCCTTCACCGCAAAAGCTTTCAAAAGGGCAGTTTGGGACTGTTCCTAGTAAAGTGTTCAGGATTGGCCTTCAGGTTTTCTGATATCTTCTTGAATTTTTTTTCTGGAATTTTACTGAGTAACAGTGTATACTTATTTTTCTTCATAATTTTTACCGTCGTCATTAGTGCCGCTTCTATCTTGGAGATTTGTAGTACTTTTAATTTTTAGTTAGGAGATAAGGTCAAGCTGTCAGCGTACGACATGATCCAAAATTTCAATGCGGAGTCAGCAGTGAAACGATCTTGGACATGGGCTATGTTTCAGGTGCCTTAAAGTTTTGATTACGTGTTTAATTTACTTTTCACAGCCTCGGTTACTTTCTTTGTTGAAAGAGTTCCTAGGTGAATGCAACTGTATTTTTGTTCAGTTTTCTTGATTAATTGATTTTTGACTTTTGTCTTATTCCTTAGCTACGTTTACTTTATTAAAGGTATTAGAGATTCCTTTGAAACAATTTTTAACTGTCTTATTTTTCAGGCGGTCAAGTTGGATAAGTCTCCAGTTCCCATTCAGCGGTGCATTCAACGACTTATTCAACACACACATTACACCGAATTTTCTAGACCAGCCATATGTGGTGGACCGATTGGACCCATGAAGGAGTAATTTATTGTTTTTTTTTTTTTT